TAAATATCTTTACATATATATTGTAAATTAGGTAAAGTGAGACATCAATTGGGTCATGATTCATAATTTTATACTCAACTATTTTTTCAATTCTTTTCTTTGTCTTATTTACATCTCTAGAACTTTTTTATTCTTTAACATAAAAAATTTAAGAATTTATGTTACAAATTATTCCGTAAATGTTTTAAATAAAACTAAAGTTTATGCCCATAATGTCTGGTGCTTTTCTCAATTTTGTTTTTTTTATTTATTTTAAGTTATGTTATTTATTTATTTATTTTATCCTATTTTAGGTGCTTATTACCTTACAAATTAACCATATAACGAGAAAAACTCAAGAGTCATATTTTCAAAAAAATTGAAAAAGTCTTTACAATTTCTTCTACAACTAGCTCTTATTAAATTTAGATTTGATCCTTTCTTAATTCTGAACTAATATTATATCATTATGTTTCTTGAATATGCTTTATTTTTACTACTTTCATTCTCTTTACAAAAATATTTATAATATGATAATTAGGCATGCAAAAGTAACTAAATTAATAAATCATATATTGTCATTTGATTTGCAAATTGGTAAGAGTAGTTCACGCTACTAATCATTTTGGTTGTTTTGAGTATTTGAGCTTTTTATTTCATAAATTTTTTTTATAGACTTTAAATGGTATTTTGGACTATTTATAATTATCATTATGAAATTAGTGGAATGATTTTACTAATTTATTTAGTTATTGATTAAAAAAATAATATTAAAATAAATAGTGGGTCATTTTTACTATTTTTTATAATTGGTTATATAGGAATTAGGATAATAAAACAACAACATTCGGGAATTTTTTATGCTCATAATTAATGGTAGGATGAGAATTACTACTATTGAAATTGTTGGGTTGGAATCGATAGTACAAGAATTGATTTTTGTTATTATTATAATAAGGTTGCCTGAATCATTAAAGAAAAAGAGATACATATGTTAATATTAAATTAGATTGTTAATTTGAAAAAGAATAAAAATTAAAGTTACAGGTGTTATGTATGTGGACCGATACTATGCCTCTTAGTTCATAATTATAATTAATAGAGAATGAAGCAGGGAGAATAAAGGATGGCATTACTGTACCTAATGTTGCCTAAGAATTAATATAAAAATGTTCGTATACATGTACATATGAGGACTGCCACTGGTTTCGACACCAGTGGCTTTAGTTGGGATATTATAACTTATTATTATTATTATTAATTAATAAACTAAAGTTTGATATATTGAGATAGGTAATATATATTAGGTGTATTAAATTATTTATACTTCATTCAAAGTTATGATAATTGGAGAATGGAGAATTATCCTTCGGTTTGAACTTTAGAAAATTAATTGTATAATTAGGTGGGTTTTTGGGTCTAGGTTAAACATAGAATAAATTGAGTGTTTAGTGACTCGTTAACTTACAAGTTACGTATATATATACTTGATAGATTGGAAGGGTTCGGAGGCAATAAGGAAAGGAAAGGCATTTGAGAAGTAGTTGCTTGACTTCGATTCTTCGGTGGAGGTAGGTTATGGTTTATTTCTATTTGATAGATAAACTCTCAATAGCGATTAATATGTATTGAGTGATAATGTGAAGTTTCCTATGTACTTGATTGTATTGTTGTTTGTCTTGGTAGTGTGGTTTGGCCTAAAATTCTGAGACTGTTAAATTTCTAATCTTGAACTCTCTCTATTAAAATGACGCCTTGAATAAAGTAGGCTTGATAAAATAAAATAATGAGATAATTGGATCAAAGTGTCATGTTCTGACACGATATTATTGGATCAGAGTGTCACGTTCCAACACAATAGCATTAAAGAAAAAGAATCTTAAATTAACTTAATATACTCAATCTCAAAGAACCCGTTTTCCAAATGAGTATGGTGTGGAGGCATGAGTCCTCATATGTGTGCTTGACATTGTGATTGACGATGTACCTACTATGGTGTTATTGTTACTGGTTCATGTGTTTGTTGCTTGCCACCTGTTAAATATTGTAGTTGATTTTATATTATTATTCAATATATATTGGTTTCTATTTTGAGTTGGCCGATGATACCTACTCAGTACGTGTTCCTTGTATTAACCCCTACTTGTATTTTCTTCTTTGTTCTTTTGTGGAGTGCAACAAATGTACCATCGACTTCGACTCGCCCTCAGCTCTAGCCAGTCTCCAGCACATTAGAGTTCAGGGTGAGTTATTATTTCTAGCTCGTGCTAGATTCTCTATTTCACGTCTTGATGTCTTTGAATTTCGGTCATGAATCATTTATTTTTTTTGCTTATGTTTGTTTCTTAAATACTATTAGACTTGGTAATTTGAGAATAGATGTCTTTGATGTGATAACTTTCAGATTTAGGGGATAATAAGTGTTAAACTTTACAAGCTTATTTAATTGGTTACTTAATAAGTTTTGGAGCTTCCGCTTTATTTTTGTTATTCATAGTTGAACTATTGATATATGTTGGTGTTTTAAGGAAGAAAGTGATGGTGAAGTGGTGATTCGGTTGTTTGTTGTGTTTTCGAGGATCTAGTAATAGAGTTTCGGCGGTGATTTGAGAATTACGATGAAAGAGTTCAGATGGTGGACGTAGTTGAAAATATGGAGAGGGGAAAATGAACATTGAAGAGTTAGAAATGGTGAAGAAGGAAGAAGAAAGAAGTGAGGGGTGGGTGGGGGCTGGGTATGGGATAAAATAAAAATGGGTCAACATTTTTAATTTTAATTTTAGAAAATGTACTTTTATTAGTTAATCATTGTTAATTAATTATAATAAGTGTTAAAGAAAAATGATGAAAATAATTAATAATGTGGTGCTGATTTGGCGTTGTTGTGGCACTTACATGACTATGATATGGTAAATGAGAGTGAGATAATAGTATCATGGTGGTTTTTAATTCATTTCAAAGATATTAAGGAGGATATTTAAATGCCCGTGTAGTTTAAGTACTAAAGTGAATTTTCGGACCAAGTTAAGCATTTTTTTATATGTATTTTCCCTTAAAATAACTAAATATTAATTAATCATTAATTCCAATAGTAACAAATGAATGGTAAAATTTGGAAAAACACTCTAAAAACAGTCTTTAAAACTGAACAGTAGAGCTATCAATATGGGCTAGCCCACCCTATCCGGGCTAACCCATACAAGCTTTGACATTTTACGGGTCAGGTCGGGCTAGCCCATTTTTGGCGTGGGCCAGAAAATGATCAGCCCAATCACAAGTACGTGGGCTACAGGCTTGACGGGCCAGCCCACTTTTTTAAAAAAATTATATTTTTCTATAATTATTAAATTAAATTTTAAATTATAATTTAAAATATTATCATAAATATCGACAAAACAATATTACATGATGTTAATGTTAGTATTTGTTAATCAAATCAAAACAAAATTATTTTTATAATATTTATTAGGGATAATTTCATAGACCTCCATGTTTCGCTCTATAACACTCACCTCCTCTTTAGTTTACGATATTACGTCTACCTCCCTTATTTTCATTTACTTGTAACCATTCTTTAAACCTATTTATTAAGTTTTTTTTTCAAGTAAAAGTATAAATATATAAATAAAAATATTAACCTAATTATTTTGAAATTTGGACTCTCTTTAATTTTAAATTTTAACATTATATTATATTTTCTAATTAATTATTATTGGCCCGTGGGCCGGCCCTACATATATTTCTCAAGCCCATCAAATCAACAGGCTTATTCAGGCCGGTCTAAAAAGCCCTTTTCTTAAATGGTCTCCAAAAATCTTAGCCCAACCTTATTAAATCCCGGGTTAGGCCAGGCCGGCCCAACGGGCCTAGCCCATATTGACAGCTCTACTGAACACTTAAGTTAATTTTAAAAAATTAAAAATGCCTCAAAAATTAACTTAATATGGAATGAAGAGAGTACTACTAAAGAAATGTCGCTTTCTCCCCATATTTAAATTTTGAATGTTTTTCAGATGTTTCAACAATAACGGGTCATTTTGTTCTAAAAATGAAAAAATAATTAACTCTACGATAATATGTTAATCATTTAAAAGAACTTGTCCAATATTTTTTCCAATTATAATTATTTACTAAAAAACTTTAATATGATAATATTAATTTTATTTTCAACATCCTATATTATATGAAATGATACACGTACAATGCACATGTCGCGAAACTAATATAGTAATCAAGATATTATAAAAATGAAAAAATTATATATAATGACAAACTATGAATTTAAATTAAATGGTACAATCACACTTTGATTTAATTGTGCCCTGTAGCAAACCATTTGTCAGTCGTCTCTCTCCCTCAAACCCTCGTTCGCCACCCTTCCTTGTCGCTCGCTCCCTCTGTCGCTGCCTCTCTCGCTTTATACCATCAGAAATGTATAAGTTGCGTTTCTATTTGTATAAAGTGAGAGAAAAATGTACATACACATGCAAATACATATATCTTTCTCCTTTACACTTATAATTATACAATACAAATGTTCCCCTATTCAGTTCTCTTTTGTCTTTCTCTCTTTCTCGATTTATACAAACACAGATTATACAACATACAATGTATAATTTATATTTGTATAAAGTAAGAGAGAGAAAGTGATATTTGATATACAAATATTTTATTTCAATTTGATTGTATATAAATTCAAATTTTATGAAATTGAATTGAGAGAATGCCAACAATTTATACAAATGAGAAACTGACAGTCATTTATACAAATGACCTGCTTGTGAAATTATACGAATAAGAAAGAGGAGCTAGCAAATTATACAAATATTTCTTTTGTATATATGTACAATGAAATAGGGTAGTCATAGCATATTTATCATGAAAGAAAATTATACAAACTTTATTATAACATATAAATATATATTTATATTTATTATACGTGAAAGTTGCCCCGTAAAAATTTAACTGTGTATGCTACTAGCCCATCACCATATAGGCCCTAAAGCAGGAGTACATTATTGTATTGAGTATAGTTGGAAGACATAGATCCCCAGTCCTCTCGGTGCTGTGTTGAAACCCATTATGCTTGCTGACATCTTTCATGGTCGGCATTGTCAAACCCCCATTTTCCCTTTTCCTTTTCCCCACCCTCCTCTTTCATTTTCCTCTTTTCCTTTCCTCAATCACTCTTACTTCAATTCAATTCAATCATTAATCTCACAAAAGGGTAAAGATCCATTGATTAACTATGGTGGTTTGGACCCGTGCAGTGGTAAGAACATGGAGATGTAGACCCACCAATTTTAGCCGGGCTTTTTCTGAAAAATTACCTACATCGGAGCCTAAGGGCAGAAATATTCAGTGGGTATTCCTGGGTTGCCCTGGTGTCGGAAAAGGGACTTATGCAGCTCGACTTTCTAAGCTTCTTGGCGTACCCCACATAGCTACTGGTGATCTCGTCCGTCAACAATTATCCTCTCATGGTCCTCTTGCCTCAAAGGTTGTGCCCTTTTTGCTTTTTGAATTGTTTTGGGTTTCTATTAAATTATTATGTGTAGCTGTGAAATTTATGTGATCTTTTGCCTAGTTCCCTCGGATTTTCATATGTTTGTGAAATCTTGAAATGTTTACTCTAAGTAATTCTGGGGTTTGTATATTTGAAATTTATGTGATGGAATGGTAAAGTTCCATCTTTTGCCTAGTTCCCACGGATTTCCATATTTTTGGTAAAATCTTGAAAATTTGTGCTCCAAGTGATTCTGGGGGTTCTATTAAATTGTGTGTATCTTTGAAATTTATGGGATGGAATGGTGGTAAAGTTCCCATCTTTTGTCTATTTCCACAGATTTTCGTATCTTTGTAAAATCTTGCAAATGTAAGTCATTTTCTTTTTTCAGCTATCTCAAATCTTATCCAATTTTACTTCTATTAATCTACAATTTATTTTCTTTTTAGTATCTAAATATATTACGAAACTACTAATCTCATAGCTTATCCTACTTCTGTGCGATTGCTATGCATATGTCACCTACTTTTGCACATTACCAAGCACTAGAAATTGATCAAGACAATCATTTCCTAAGGGATATCATTTTCCTCCACTCCAGATGCAAACATCTACTGGATTTGATTTATGTGTGCATGTGTAGATACAGTAGTCAACTGAAGATTACAAATGGCTGATCTTTTAATACAAGGACCATGATACACTTAAAGGGTTCCAAATGACTGACCAAGTAAGGGATAAGTTGGAGATTTGCTGTTACCCTAGTCATTTGATTTGTTCGACTGACACTTTATAAATACAGTTCCATACAAATGCTTTATGTAATAATACTGTACCCATGAGTCAATGAAAATGCTGCAACAACTCTTATAGCATCTTATAAAGTTATGCAATAGCTAAATAATAGGGGAAGTATTTGTAAGTATGCTTGCATTAGTGGTGTGAGAGATACATTTATCAATGTTGTGAGAGATGAATATGGTATTCTCACTTTTAGATGTATATATTAGGTCTTTTACCATATAAAAAGATTCTCTTTCTTAAAAGTCAATGTAAGCTTATTTCAATGACTTTAAGATTGATCTTCCCGACTTTGGACAATGCAACCATTTTAGGAGTATGTTTAAAAAAGAATTATCATTTGGAAAGTTCTTAATGTTTGCGTAGTTAATACTTTTGTATCTTATTTGGACAGTAAATAAAAACTAGAAAAATCTTTTTTTCTGGATATCTTGTTGCTTTCACATGAAGTTCTCCTGAAAAAAAGTTACCAGTACTACAATAAAAATTATGATGATTCAACCCTAAACTAGTAGTATGCGAGACGTGACTTGGTTCCCTTTTTTGTCCTTCATATATAGGAGACATGAGTTGGTTCTATTCTTTCTTTTGGGTCCATTATTTCATTGCTCAGTAATTTTATTTTAAAGTACCTAGTAGATTTCCAAGACTAGAGATTCTCTAAATTTCAATTATCACACTTGTTCCTACACCAAAATGTAAATTTTAACCAAACTAAAAAAGCATATTGGCAGACACTGGACCAAAGGTAAGTACCAATAACCAGTTAATCTTAATTCTAACTAGTTGGTATTGCCTATATGGATCTTTGCTTCCATTGTATGTGCTCTTTGACAAAACCACATAGATTTGAGGAGATTGAAGGTATTTTGAGACAACTTTGTTCCATGTGGGATAGCTCGATCTCTGTAATGCCTTGAATCATGATAGTGTTATGCGAACAATCAGCACAATTTTAAGTACATACAACATGATTTGACCATTATGCGTTTTTCTCTCGTTGTCTCCTCGATATGTGCTACTTGCATCTTTGTCAGATATGATTATTTCTAATATCATTTATCCATCCATCTTAATTTCTATTAAATACTTATGTGTTCATATTTCTGCTGTAGTGCCTTTTAAACTGTATTTTAATAAAATAATTGTTTCTTTGATAAGTTGAAGGAAAGTCTATTTCTTAGAGGCAGTGATGATATTGTTAAAAAAAGAAAAAAGAGTCTAATTCTTAAGCTTAGATGTGAAAATATGAATTTGTATATATCTTCTTTATTGATTATGCCCTTCATTTACTCCACTGTGCCTTTTCCCCCCCTAAAGTCGTTCTACTAATTTCTTTTCTGAACTTACTTTGTGCCTTCTGTTGCAGCTTGTGGATATTGTTAGCCAAGGGCAATTAATTTCAGACGAAATTGTAATAGATTTGCTATCTAAGCGTCTTGAAGCTGGAGAAGCAAAGGGTGAAACAGGATTTATTCTTGATGGATTTCCTCGAACTATACGGCAGGCGGTAAGCAGTTGTTTGTATAATGGATTTCCTATGTCTAGATTGATTGTTGCGCTTCTGAATAAATACTTCCCATGTTTTTTCTAGGGAATAGCTTACGAATCTAAAGAAATACTTACATATAAATGTGCATACACACACAGATATCTGTGTATTCATGTGCTATTGTCATGTTTCTTACATGTGTGTATTATTTTATTTGACGGTTGCACCTGTTGACTGGGACTTCATCTTGTGCATCTATCTACTTTAATAGGCCAATATTTTCTTTCACAGTCTGGCATCTGGCACGCAGGGGCTTGCTATGGATATAACCTAGCAAGATAATTTATTAACGTTCTAATGTCAGTACTTGAGGACTGTTTCACAACTAGCAGGGATGCATTATTATAACAGGTTAACGGTTATGGGCTTATAGCTGGACCTGCAATTGGAATGCCGCTTGCTCAAGAAAAGTTGAATATGCTGTTGAACGAAATGAATGAATAAAGTACAAAAGGTTGAAATCAACAGCAAAGCTCGATATGATTCTCTCAATAGATTGTGCGGTCTGTGAATTAAGCTCTTAGTTGAGGTGATAAGATCCTAACTAGAGTAGATATACTTCATCTTACATGAGATGCATTTTATTTGTATGATACATCAAAGTTTCTGCAAAGAGCAAAACTCTGAACTGCATAATATGTTCATCAGATATATTAGCCAATTCTTATGTTCATATGTAGATAAGGGAAAATGTCTGAGCTAACAAGAGCAAAGATCTGGCCTAAGTGTGTCATATTAGTTGTTTCTTGATTTCTTCTAGTGACACCTGATGATTGGGAGAGACCTTGTTAAACATTGACCACGGTTAACCATTCTTCAACTTTTTACAATTAGTTTCAAAATTTGAGGCATGTTTGAACAGCCATGTACATTGTCTTATATGTTCTCTTCAATTGCCACTAGAAACATTTGATATTGCTTGTCATTTTTTTGTATGTCAATGCAAGTAATGGCCTTGAAATTTCTAAATTATGTCCTCGCTAGGTTTTTCATTGCTGCGTAGTCTTTACTAACATTAACCTTTTCTCAGATGTACCTTGTTAAACGGCTTTACTTAGCTCTCAGATATCATCCACAATTGCCTCTACTTAATGGAGCATCACATCATGTACATGCTTTGATTGTTTGACTGGCATAAAATGTTGTGTCGCTACTCCTCTATGAGCATCAGCTGTAAATTTTGCTAACTAGAGAAACAATGTTGAGTATACATTCTAATTCTCTTGGACAGTCTTTGAGGCATGGTTTTATTATCTGCTTCTCTACCTTTATATGACTAGTATGAGACCACAGGGAAAGTACAATCTAAGAACTGAATGCCCTTGCTTGGGTTTTAGCTTTAATGGCCATACAATTGTGGATACTTTAGTTACAAAAGGCTCATGTGATGTATTTCAACGTATTGTGTTTGTGATTTTAACAGTCACAACTTTAGGGTTTTCTTGGACTGTTGTGGCTGTTATATGTTCCTCTGTTTTAATTAGAAGCTTAACTTCTTTATTTGGTAGAATCTTTTAATTAGAAGCTTAACTTCTTTATTTGGTATAATCTTTTCATTAGAAGCTTAACTTCTTTATTTGGTAGAATCTTTTGATTAGAAGCATCTTTCTATTGGTTCTTAATCAATATTTTGTTTGTGGATTGTTTTATGTGATGTTATGTTTATTGTATTATTGATTGCTTCACCAATGTTTATGGGATTTGACCAATTTCTAAATTTGTGGAAGCTGCCAATAATGGCAGGGGATCAATTTATCATATGTCAGAAAGATGAACTATTAGAGGATGTAGTCAACTTACTGCCTAATGTAGGATTGCAAATCTTGTAACCTACATCAAAAAGTGTAGCTCCCTTCAAAAACTTACAACATGTGCCATCTATCAGTTGCTCCTATAAGTAGTCTAAAACATCAAAAATCTCTTCTGTTTGAGCTATTAGATTCTGTTTACACCAACAATAAAAAAAGCGAGGCAGATCATCTTAAAGCCCTGTAAGTTGCTCTGCTTGTCTTCAAAACATCTCCTTTTCCTTTCCTCCCAGACTGTCCACCAAATGCAAGCAGAGACAATTTTCTATCTCTTTTCAAAACCATTTTGAGTCCTGTTGTTCAAAACTGAGAATATCACTGTGCTGATATAATGATTGGCTAAGCTGCTCGGACTCTTCACTTTTGGTGCCTCACCCATGTCGACACGACATGGGTGTGGGATCCTTGTCCGATTTGGTAAACGGATTTTTGGTACTTTGACCAAAATCGTTGGGGAAAGTCTGGACAATTTTAATTATTCCTATAATCAATACAAAAGCTAAGGTGAAATTGAAGGAAATGGAATACCTTTTATATGGAAGTTTCTATTTCACTCCTTTTCCTTTAATCTCCTTCCGGGATTCTCCTCAAGTTCTCTACATAATATGTCATAATCTGGTCTTTATAACTTTATTTTTAGATATTTTAATTATTTTAGGCGACTCCCTGCACCGTATCATACATGGATCCTATCCGGGAATCTTAAAAATTAGATCATGAAGGATCCGACCTCTAGATCCACACTTGTACACCCGCACCCGAGTCTGAGCAACTTAGATGTTTAGTCCACACAATCCATCTTGTGCCAAACCCCATTCTTTGAAGCATATGGATGAAGGAGCTCCAGTTCAAGTGATATATGTTTAGTGGATATGTAGTTTGAATAAGATACCTGGATTTAGGCTTCTTCGTCTGTTTCCCCTGCACTCAGTGGCAATTAAGATTGCATCCATGATCTTCCTCCCAATGTAAGGATCTTACATTTTTGTTTAACCCTACTCCTTTTGTTCAAAAAGGTAATATGGAAGGAAGTAAGGAACATGAGTATCCTCTTCCCCCAAGGGTAGGGAGAAACTGTTGGTAACATTAATGCTGATATCCCTTAGTTGTGTATCCTAAGGAGAGGATCCTCATGCTCTCCTGATGATTGTTTTTTGGTTGATGCACAATGTTTGAATCGATTATCTGAAGGGCAAAAATTGAACACTGATGAAGATCAATGTAATAATTTACTGAAACTTCAGGAGGCTGTAAAGTAGAGGTACGGCCAGTTATCTTTTGGCAATGCTTTATGCAAAGTCAGGACATTGATGTCTTCAGTATTCACTAGTGAAAAAAGGTTTCCTGTACTAGGGTCTAGGGCTGCTTGCAGGAGTGTCTCCACCAGTATAGAGGATCATCTTTGTTTCCCTTGTTCTTGGGACCAAAAGTTTCCAACACAAGCATTCCCCTGCCTTTCTTTCCCGGCTATGTCTGCTTCTTGCTCCCTACGGTGTAGTAAAAGTCTGTTTCATGTGGTGTCATGGACCTGTATTCTCAGTCTCTTCTACTTTTTGATACTAAGACGTGGACCCTTGCTCCCTGAATTTGGCTGGTCTGGTCATATCTTTTGTTGCCATCAGAATAACTCATATGATTACTAAGTTCTGGTAACAAATTAGAATCCATGGGCAAACGCTGAAGCTTATGGTCTTATGTTTGAAGGCTAAATTATTTATATATCTGACTTTGGTGGGTTCACCTTACTCTCTGTTGTATAACTTTTTGTTTTATGCCAAGCAAAACTTTTACTATAATTGAAACTCTGCAGTCCTTGGTTCCTATATCTGACTTTGGTGGGTTCACCTTACTCTCTGTTGTATAACTTTTTGTTTTATGCCAAGCAAAACTTTTACTATAATTGAAACTCTGCAGTCCTTGGTTCCTATATTTGGAATTTTATTTCCCCTATAATTGGATCTAGAGATGAAACAGATCTGATATGTGTACAGGTCCAAGCAGTGAATTATCAACAGTGTAAGTACTGCTCCCTGATAGTGGCTAAGCTGCTTTGTGCACTGAAATTAATAATTTTTTTTCCTCCTTTAACTAGATATAGACGGCATTTTCTCTGATCCTGTCATATGTGTTATTTGGTTATTTAGGAAATCTTAGAGGGAGTGACAGACATTGACTTGGTGATTAATCTGAAGCTTCGGGAAGATGCGTTGATTGCCAAGTGCTTAGGAAGAAGGACTTGTAGTGAGTGTGGAGGCAATTATAATGTTGCGTGCATTGATATGAAGGGTGATGATGGAGAAACTAGAATGTACATGCCTCCCCTTCTCCCTCCTCCGCATTGTGAAACCAAACTTATTACACGGTCTGATGACACTGAAAATGTTGTGAAGGAACGCCTCCGCATCTACCATGAAATGGTATGATCTACTTTTCTCTTATTTATTGTTTCTCGCTTTGTGCAAGCGTTCTCTTCATGTACTTGACTGGTGAGTATACCCCATTCCTACGTTACAACTTCTTCACACTTCCGTAGACAACAAAAATCTGTGCCATTCACAACTCAAGAATTGATAATTCTGAGCACTTATGATGTGTTTTACAAGCAGATCATCAAATCATTTACCCAAATTTTTGTGTTTTCTTGTAGTACGTCAAATCGGAAGATAATCACTGTTTTTGTCATCTGTATACAGTCAAAAGTGGCATTGAGATACTCTATAACCCTTTAGTTTTTTTTCCTCCTGTCCTCTATTTAGCCTGTCTCGACTAGTTTGGGGTTGAAGTATAGTTGATTGGTTGGATTGCCCTAGAGTTGCTATTGCATCTGATCCTTCCAAAGTGGCTTCTTTTGTCAATATGTGCATTTCTTTTGTGCAGTGGTTACTAACCTATTGTTGTATTTCCTGTAACTGTGTTTTTTCTCCCCAGACCCCAGATCCTCATTTGTTTTTTAGGACGAGATGGTACAAACTTAATTCTCAGTTAGCTACTGTGACCACATTCATAATTTACTTTCCTAAATGCTTGCCCACAAAGATAGGGATAAAGTCTACGTATATCCTACCCTCTCCAGACTTACACTAGCTATGTTGTTGTAACATACTAACTGCTTAGGTATTATGTTGTTCCTGCAGAGCAAACCAGTAGAGGACTTTTACCGCCAGCGAGGTAAGCTGTTGGAGTTTGATCTCCCTGGAGGAATTCCAGAGTCATGGTCAAAGTTACTTCAGGCTTTGAATATCTACGACGACGAGGATAAGAAATCTGCTGCAGCATGATAATTGATCACTTGTCTTGTCAGTATGTTTACTATTGTTGTAGGTTCATTCTTTGCATACATGTTGGACATGCACAAGCGTCTATAATGGGGCTCCCTACCTCCTACTCTTCTCTCCCTCACTATTGTATCATATAATGCTAAGGCAACTATAACGATTGTACGGAGTATTTCTTGTCCATATTTGTTCATAAAGCTTAGCAAACCATGTGATTTCATTAAATATTTTGATGATATAGTAGGGGAAATGTTATTTAGATCTTATTACATAGTCTGGTAAGTTCATATGCTCAAATAATGAGTTAGCTCTTATTACATGGTTTGGTATGTTCATATGCTCAAATAATCAGTTAGCTCTTATTACATAGTTTGGTATGTTCATATGCTCAAATAATTAGTTAGCTCTTATTACATAGTTTGGTATGTTCATATGCTCAAATAATCAGTTAGCTCTTATTACATAGTTTGGTATGTTCATATGCTCAAATAATCAGTTAGCTCTTATTACATAGTTTGGTATGTTCATATGCTCAAATAATCAGTTAGCTCTTATTACATAGTTTGGTATGCTCATATGCTCAAATAATTAGTTAATTAGTAGTTTATTGAGTGTAATTAGTTTTTTTTTCTACATTTGAAATAGCTGAGTTAATATTCTAGTTTCTTTTTCTAAAAAAAAATTCGAGTGTTATTGACTCATTTTTTTTTTGGGAGTCATATTCGACTAGCCCAACTAATTTTCACATTGCATGTCCTTATGTTTTTAGCTAGAATTGATAGATTTTTTCTGTCAAACATTTGAATAGTTTTATTACATTATGGCAACAACAACATAGGCGTCGTTTGGTTTGAGTAGTTATGATGCGATAAAGTTATGTTGTGATTAGTTATTCTAGTATTATTTTTTACTGACTGGTTTGTTGTACTAAATATATACTTTCTAAAATAAGTTGTTTGATTTAAAAAATACCTCTTATCTTATTCAGGTACTTGTATATTTTTTTGGTAGAGCTTCAGTTAACTTTCCAGACAATTCAAATTTATTTGCTTTTGTTTTTGTTTCTTCTTTACTGTTAGCTTTGTAGGAATTTGGGTTGTTTCTCTTTATTAGGAACAAAAGAGTCACCTTAATTAGCTTAATTTTTTTTATGTATGAATTCTTATGGATTTTTTGTACTCCACTCTGAAAACCAAAGTCCAAATCTAAGTAGTTTCTTCAAGTTTATTTAAGTTGTATCAGTATTAAGTTGTTTGGATTAGAAGTTAATTAATTATGATATAAATAATTTGTTGTGGCAGCAGAAATAAACTGAAATATGACCAAACCACATTAATTATTATTATCATCTTTTTCATACTTTGGCGTCCAAAACACTTGGACCAAATGAAAAATCACGGACATTGAGCATTATGATATATTATTATACCATCTGAAGATAGTAATAATTTATCTCAGTATTAATTATTAATTTTGGGATAAGTTATTTTGCACATGCCCACCAAACAAATTAAGCGTCACTATAATTTTATCCCAAAACTATTTGGTATAGGCAATCCCTTAGAGTAATCTCATAAAAATAAAGGGGGAATGGGGTGTGGATCACAACAAGATAAAAAATTACATTTTCTAATTATATATAGGTTTTTATAGGAGTCTTTTTCTCCTCTTGCCTCTCTCCTCACACTGCACCCCCACCCCCCTCTCTCTCTGTCCAGCCCAAACAATTGCAGCCCCAAAAACATTCCACAAAAATATAACAATTGAATTTTGTGTTATGTATCAAATGCATTTGTATTTCATATCAATTGTATTTTGTACTCCCTTTTTTTCAATTTATTGATCCTTCAAATTCGATATTCAACTAAGTTTATCTTTGACCGTAGATACACTTTTCAAATATTTTCCAATTATTATGGCTTATAATACTTTTTTACTTAGTTTGTAAATACATAAATTTCATTTTTAAAAAATTGAAAATTTCATGCATAAATTGCGGGCCAATCTTAAATTGTTTGACATAAATTGGGACAAATTGAGTATTAAGTATCAACTGAATACAATCTTGTATCAATTGTATCATGATAATTGTATTCATCACTACAAATTGTGATTGTAAATACGATTGATACAATTATATTCGATCTATGATACAAATCATTGTATTCAGATAATTATATTTGTATTTTATATCAATTGTATTTATATTTTGTATCAATTGTATTTGTGATACAATAAATACAAATGTATTCATCCCTCCCTCGATTTCGCTCGCCTCTCTCCTCCTAATAGATAGCTAAGTGCATTAGTTTTTAATACAATTGTATTCACTTTGATACAAATCAAAAATATCATTTGTATTAGTGATACAACATGATATAACAACTACAACATGTAATCAACCCCACTCTCCTCTATATCTTAGATCTCACTCGCTTCTCTCCTCCCCTCCTAATCTCGTTTGCCTCTCTCCTCCCTCAACATGTAGCTATAATTCATAAGCTCAAACTGTAATCATTTATTCACAAGCCCAAACTATACTCATTTTTTGAAGTTTCTCCGATCACGTTTGACAAGGGAGTTCTTGGCCCATAAAACTTCACCTGTACAATCCAAAAGCCAAGAGAAATAATTGAGGAAAATAAGCCTCATTAAGCAAATAAATCAACTTGTTCTATCTTTTTATCCATAATGTTAGAAAGGCTTTATCACACAAACCCTGTTAAATATCTAAAATATTCTTATCGTAGCTACTTAACTTAAAGGACAGATAATAATAATTGTCATAACAATTTTATTTTGCGTGATTATCAAAAGAAATATATAATAACCAAGAGCTTATATATATACACGCAAATGCTGCAGACAAGTAAAATCTTAAAGTTAAACAGAGAGCTCAACTCTCCCTTTAATATATTAGTACTAAATTTTGCCTTTTTTCTATTTATTTTTTGGCTGAAAACAGATAAATTATATTCTCTATTAATATGCATCATTACGAGATAGCGACAAGATGCTGCAAGTACTACTCAAGGTAGGGGATTTTACTACATAGTACGTATTACAATTTTCGTGAATAGTACGCGGCGTTTTTAGTGGTCTTTACAAAAACAGTTTCTTCTTACCATTGGAACCATCCGTCATTTTCTTATTTTACTGGCATAATATATTAATGTGCTCTTTAATTTTGGTATGAATAAATAGATACTTAAATTTGTATAAATTGAACAAGTAGACACATGAGTCCTACGTGACACAATACACATAGGATAAAAAATTACATGTAGGATGCAATGTAGGACATGTGTGTCTATTTGTTCAGTTTTATATAAGCTTAACAATCTAATTGTGCACATCGAAAATTTAAGAATATAAAAGTGATTTGAACTCAAATTAAATGGTATATGTATGTATTACGGTATATTTTATCTATATAGGTTCATTATGTCTTTAATTTCTATGGAAGAGATTAAAAAATTATGAACTCTTCTTCCGACATTTTGTGGTGCTAGATTTTGTAGTATCCCCCCCTCCCCCCCCCCCCCCCCCCACAGATTTTGTGTTTATAACTTAAAGATTATTGAATGATGCGAGATACACTTCCATCAAGGCTCAAGGGAATTATTATTTAAGATAATGTAATAAAATGCACCTCAAATTATGATAATAGTTGTGAATTCCAATACTTTCCAACAATACTTTGCAAATAAACTTCGCGTTTTGAGTGATAATAAATAATAATAACATTGAATTTATAATTAATTTTTTTGCTTATATCCTTATATTAAAAATAATGAAAAAATAGGTACTTAAAAATAATATTAGCAATATTTCAACATATATTTGATTATATGTCATTATCACATAACTCAAGAATCTCTAATTAATGAATTACTCAAGAAATAATTAATTCATTTGTTCTTTAATCGAAATTAAAATAAAATAAATAAGAAAATAAAAATATATAAACATAGGCATTTCGTAATAAAAGAAAACATTTAAGTTGCATAAATTATTCAATTATGATATACCTCTTAGGAGAAAATTCAAAATGTTAACATATTTTTTTAAAAAAAAATTACGCTTGAACATGAAAACAATTATAACTTCTGAACTTGCATAATGAATTTCTTCGATTGATAAGTGAGAAATTTCACATTTATATAAAAATAGATAATATGTAAGCTCATACATAGTACTTTTAATTTATAGAATTTAATATAGAATATCAAAATATGAATTCTTGAAATCGAGTACAATAATTATTTTCTGCGCAATGAATATACGTACTATATGTGTGTATGTTCTATATAACCAAAGACAATAACTTTGCACAAACATAAACAACAGACTTTAAAGCACGTACTCAAATTTTTTTTATATCATAAGCCTAAATTAATGAGTGTAAAAAGATATACCAGGATATGTAAAAATAGAATGAAATTGAAAAGAATAAATCGAGTCTACAGGATGAATAATTTCCCCTTGAGAAAACTATTCTCATCAAATACTAGAGGTTTAAATAATTACTTCCTCTAAGGATGAAACGTTTTATTTACCAACTTATTGATACTAAAATAGTGGTGTCAGTAAGTCGATCAATAGGAGGAAAGTACACGAACATTTAATTTTGCGAAAGTAAAAGAAGTAGATCATAATTTTTGTTTTTTAAAATGAGAGGAAGTCCTCCATTTATAGACAACAAAGAGTAGTGTGAACAACTGTTTATTATGCGTTGTTAGAAAGGTTACAACTCTTTGGAAAAGTTTCAACCTTTCGGAAAGTTCACAACCTTTCATAAATTCAAAACATTTCATAAAGTTGTAACTCTTCATTCAAGTCACAACTCTTCATAAAAGTCAAAATTTTATAAAAGTCGCAACTCTTCATTAAAGTCACAACTATTGAAAAAAGTCACAACTATTCATTAAAGTCGCAAATTTTCATTAAAGTCACATCTTTTCATGAAAGAGAAAGACTAGTTTTGAAAATAAATGAATTTAAAAGGAAATTATTGTTTGTGATGACGCTACGAGGTGGGCCTAAGATTTTCTTTTATATAAATACATGATATGATTATTAGGAGTTACATAAAACAAATTAACTATTTATCGTCATATGTACTAGCAAAATATTATATAGTGTTTTTCAATCAAAATAATATTTAATGTGTTTGAATTGACTTTTTAAAAATAATTTAAAATTTAAAAGCTAAAAGACATAATTTGAGAATTTTCAAATTTTAACGTTTGGATTATTTTTATATATTTT